GATTATTTTGTTAAAATACTTCTTAAATGGTGTATGAGAAGGCATATAATGCTTGATAGTCTTATAAATAATGTTAGTAGGAATGGCGATCACTGCCTATGTACAAAAACTCATTAAGAATTAGAGAATGGTGGTTTTTAAACTCCATTATTTCCTCTTTATTTATTGCCTGAAATATTTGTATGAAGAGATATTTCTATGTATCAAATATTTGGCTATTCTGGGGTATAATTTTTTGGCATTTTTTTTCTCAAGCATTACTTTTACACATTTTTTTCTAGTGTGAAATTTGTGTGTTTATTAAAAAAGAAAAAAACTTTTGAAAGAAATTAAAGTCAAACTTTTTCAATTATTCAAATTTCAATGAGACTTTTAAGAAAGTTATAATGTTTAGATGGTTAGTAGGTGGCTAGAAAGTTGTTATTTTAAATAATTCTCAAGTGATAATTGAAGGAATGTGTTTAACTTTGTGCTAGATAGTTACAGAAAAGGGGGAAATGTAGGTGGTTATCTAAAATGCATTTATTTTAATATCCTTATCTTGAAGGACTGTTATAATGTGGCATTTGATCAATTAAGTGTAATAGTACTTTTCCTTTTCAAATCAGTGTGATTTCCTTCTTTGTATAAATGAATCAAACTCAGCTGGTTTGATTAGCACTATATTAATACTGTTAGGTAATGATTGAATTTTGATGTAGTGGATTTAAAGATATATGTTTATCAAGCATGTTGTTTTCATTTTAAATTCCCTACTGGATAGCTTTGTAACCTAGAAAAAAAATCACTTATCCTAGGAAGTAGAGGCAATGTATACTCTCTCCATAGATGTCAGTAACTTCTCTCTCTTGGAACGTCTAAGAATTTTTTAAGTTTATATATTACTTCCTTACTAAGGAACAGTAATCTCTTATCTATAAATTTGCTGTGGGGAGGAGGAATAAAAACACTAGACTATAGTATGAAGGTATTTAGACAAATTTTATATCATCTTAAAATGAAAAGATCAATAGTGCTTTAGCCTTAGTTCTGAGTGAATAAATACCAGCCATGTCTTTGCTATCTATTTACTAAATGTTTAACTGCTAAATAACTTTATGGCAAACACTTCTAAAGGCAACCACAAATATAGTATGTCCTAAATCATTCATACATTCAAAATATTAATAAATATACCTCATTTTGTTATGACAGGAAATCTTAAAACAAAAAGTAGGAGTTAAAAGAACAGGGAAAATGTGAGTAGGTCATGTTTTTTGTTTTTTTTGAGGTAGGTTTTAAAATTGATCTAAACTCCCTTGTGAATGCCCTCATGTTTTGTACTTCATTTTGAGAAACATCGTTTTAGATTCACCAATTCTTCAAAAATTATTAGTGATACCTTTCAAATAGACAGACAACTGGCTAATTCAACAAAAGTAATTAACTAAACTGGAACATAATTGTATTTTTACTTTTTGATAATTTGTATTGGAGATTTTAGAGATAAACCTTACTAATCTGATTCTTAATATTCACAAACAGAGTGAATTCATCTGTAAACAACTATGGTGATTTTATTATGATTCACATAATTCTGCTTCAAAAATTACATGTGCAAATCTTTACATTATTAATATTATAATTATCAGTTACAGATTTAATATTATAACTAATCAACTCTGAGAAAATAGTGTGAACACCTATAATGTTACAGCTTACTGCTTTTATTATAAAGATGAAGAAATGTTGATAACATATCTAAAACTTTTCTTTGGTCAAAGTATCTTTACTTCTTTTCTTTCATTTTAACTATAAACTGTTAAAATTGTATTTTTAAGATAAATTTCAGTCACTTTTGTGTGGTGTGCAATGTGCACTTTGCAATTGACTTATAATTGGACTATGCTGACAATGGAAAATCTTACAAGTATTGAACATGACATTTATGACAGTATTGCTGTCATCTTGGCTTCTTTTATTGAATATGCAGAGAATTATAATTGGGCTAACAAGCCTGGTAGCCTGGCCTCTTTCCAATTATATTAACCAGCCTGGTTGAGTATTAGCTGCCTGAACACACACGCATTAGGCATAGGGCTTTGTTTTCATTCCTATTTTATTTTGGTATCTACCCAATAATCTAAGAATAACATTATCTGCCTCCATGTAACATTGGAGAACTTTCAATAATTCACCTCCATTTCACTGAGAAATGTAAAGAAAAATGTGCCTTCTCTACATTTATCTCATTAGTTTTTAGTAAGACAATGCTTTTTAATTAAAAATTGGTTGTATCTGCTACTTATTAAATGCTAATATTTATCTAATAATTTATAAAGCCTTTTGGCAATGCTTTTTGAATTCAGGCTAAAATTTTTAAGTGATAAATTTTAAACTTAAGAAAAATGTCCTTTCATGTGAGCAAGTCAGTATACTGATGCATTGAAATATTTTCTTTGAAATGGAGGCAAATAATACTTTTTACATAATCTAAAAATGCCTTTTAGTTTTGAGTAGTTTTAAATACAATATAAAGATAAAAATAATTCCTGATGTTAGACTTATGAAATCCATTATAATTCTAGCAAGAATTAAAAACTTAATTTTTAATAGAAAAGCCAATATTAAGAAATGTTAAATGAAACAGTTTGTGGTTTATAATATCAAGTACTTCACAGTGTATCAATTATTTGGAACACTAAATTCTGTACTTTTGTTTCTCTTTTTTTCTCTTCTGTTTCTCTTTTATTTTATAGCATTCAATATACTTGCATATTTCCTTTAGAAACATTCCCAACCCTACCATCTGCAATATTTAAAGTACTTATCTTTATCAGTGATTCTTTGAATATAAATATGAAAACAATCTGGAAATTTATTCTACAGAAACACAGCACCACTAAAGCACATGAGAAATATGGTATAGGATGTGTATTGCAGTATTGTTAGTAGTAGCAAGATACATACATACATACATATATACATCACAAACAGCCTGATGGTTTATCAATAGGAAAATAGTCCTATACTTCATATGTGCTATCAAAATACATACAACTATTAAAATTAGTGAGCTAGAACTCTGTGTATTAACCTGGAAAATGTGGGAAAAGCAGACTGCAAAGTAATGTGTACAGCATTATCCTATTTTTAGAAAAAAATACACAAAATATATATTTACTAGTTTTTATAAGAATTGCAAAATTAATTTTTCTAACATTAGTAAACTGTTAACATTGATTATTTTAGTAGCTAACAGTGGAGAAAAATGAAATATTGTGGGGTTTTTTTTTTACCTATATCACCTCTAATTTTTTTAGGTGCATCAATTTTATAATAAAAATAAACAATGAAGTAAAATAACTATTTCATTCATTAAATAGGAGTAAATTTCTTAGTACAAATAACTTACATTTTGTTTTAATATTAATCATTTTAGGGACTTTAATGGTCTATACATTATATTATGAATTATTTCATCATAGGAACAATATTACAATAAAACTGGTAGTTTAGTTTTGGATCATTGCTTTTTAGTTTGAATTTTATCTTCCTAACAACATTGTGAACATTCTCCCTCTCAAGCCATATATACTCTCATTTTAAAACTGTGGGAAAAACAGAGATTGAATGGGCTTTAGGAAGGAATAATTGAGGTTTTTTTTGAAATATTTTTGTTTTATTTTATATATTTTTATCTGAAAAAAATTTAAAAACTTGATGCTCATTTTTGTATGAGTTAGTGAAAGATAAATGCTAATAGTAAGATCATGTTTATAATTGTAAACAAAAAGTAAATTCTCTGTGAGTAGTCTGGCATGTAACTAGAAATGCTAGAAAATTTTATTTAGCTTTAAATAACTTGAAGGAATGGACTATAGACTAAAATTTCTCTATATGAATAAGTACTTGATCTAAAATCTAAATTAAACTTCATTGAAGGTCAGTATGCCCAAGTAGAGACTGCGTATTGCCCAATTAAGGGATGGGTTACCACTTCATCTTTAACATCATTTAGGGAGTGAAAAAGACTATCTTCATTTTTAAATAGCATTTAAATCAAAATAGAATATATCACTTCAAAACATTTAGAGGTCTCTAATTATGCATTTTGTCTAGAAATATCCCTTTGAGTAAAGAACTCTCCTTTAGGTCTGTTATAACTTCCTCATTAAGTTTACTTCTAACCCCAAATATTGTTTATCACTAGATACAGATAAGCCTAAATTTGTACTTCTTAAATGGTAATAATGCTATTTAAAGTAACGGAGTTTTCTAATTTCATAGCTATGTGCTCAACCAAAAACCAGATAGCTGGAGGTTGATTTGGCTTTGTTGACCTGATGTTTGCAATTCAGTCGATGACTCAATGCCTTTAATCCCAATAGCATAAGGGCTTTTGGAGTCACATACACCTATAATAAAATCTCATATTTGCTTTTTTTCAACTATATTACAGTCAGCAAGTAATTTGACTTGTCAAAGTCTCAGTTTCTGTTTCTGAGGCAACAGTCACAAAACTCCCACCTTGAGCTTGCTGTTATTAAGTGGAAGTATGGAAAATGTTCAACCTCAGTCTCTGGCACTGAGTAAGCACGCAATAAATACAAGTGGCTTGCCCTTGTGATTTCTCCAAACTTCGTGAGCTATATTTTAATTCTTAAATAATCTGAAATATATTTGAACTATATATGAGTATTTATTTAATTCAATTATAACTTAAGCTTAGAGTTAAGAAGGAAATAGAGAAAGATTTACAGTCCTCAATGGAATTTCAGCTCCTAACTATTTTTTCTTTCTTATTCAAGAAGTTAGATCATATACTAACAAAATATAACCAATTGTCACTTTCATTGTCATAGGCCCTATTCATAAAAGTATGTTGATCATATAATAATAAATTCATCTTTTTAGACTGCAGCTAATAGTTCTAATATATCTCTTTTTCTTATTAGAGACTCTGTTTAACATCTAATCTCTGTTTGTTCTCTTCTTGTGCAATCTTTTCTTGGAACCAGCTGCTGCTTCAAAAAATAAAGTTAAAGGTGAGCTCCTATCTGTTTGCATGATTCACCATGATTCATTTTTCTGTTCAGTCCTCTAAGTCCTCTTAAATGATGGAGCCAATTCTGTTGGTGATAATATTAGTTCAGTATATAAATATTCATCACAAATTTTTACAAATATAAATATATATTATTTCAATTATTCAGCTTCTGATATATGTCTGTGTTAGCATGATGATTTGTGAGAGTTTTTGTTTGTTTGTTTTATTTCTCACTTTAAACATTGCTTTTGTGCACTAATATTTAGTTTTTTGACCTTTGTTTCCTTGGTGAAATTGTAAATTGGGAAAAATATAACATAAAATAGGCTGATAGAATATCTAAAAATTGAACATACCCTTCATAGAATTATGTGAAGAGAAAATGTTATCTTTTAAAAATGAATATTATAAACTGTGGGCTGCTATTTATGATGTTCCTTCTATTTCCTAGTTGCATTAAGTTTGCATTTGCTAGAATTCTAAAATATATATTTTCATGAGGAAGGATGAACTTGTCTAATGCCAGAATGTTTCCCTGAAAGAAAAATACTTTTGGCTTGATGTGCCAATCTTTATGGTTTTGAAAGAATTCTAGTATATATATAATACTGTATCATAGGTTTATGGTTTATATTTTGATTTTATACTCTCTACAACAATATATATATTTAAAAAAATTTTCTCCTTCCTATAAAGCAAATATATATATATATAATCTTTCATGTATTATTATGCAACAAAACTGCAATTATCTTATTGGTCATATATCTATTATCTTCAGTTTCCTCATCTACAGAGTGTGAATAAACAATAAGTACTTCAAAAGATTGTTGTAAGCGTTGAATTAGGTAAATATTTGCGTTTTAAACAATGCTGGTTTCCTTTTGCTTCTCACAAAACTGCCTCTTCTTTGTGGAGAATTTTATGACTTTTTATCACTTATGTTGTGGTATCTATTATCTCCCTGTGTGTGCTCAGAAGAAATGAACAGGTGGTTTTGTCTCTTTCTCTACTTCTCTTATTCAAATTCATCCCAAGGCCAACCTTCTCTGTTATCTTCTCCCTCCAGCCCTGCCCTTCCCCAGGTTTTAGTTTTATAGCTAGTTTCAACATTATGACAGAGTCATCTTTGAAATGTTAACTGCTCCCTATTTATAAGGCTAACCATTTAGTGTGCAAGTACTATTTTCCTAGCAATATATTTGTTTCATAGAACACTACGATATAAAAGACAAGATGGCAAATCTTTGTTACCATTTGTTGTATCCTCTATATCTAGCCTAATATGTGGTTTTCTTGGTGGTGAGAATGGCAACAGGTGTTAGACCTGTGGAGTCAGACCAGACCTCAGTTCAGCAACCCTGGTGACTGAGTTCTGGCTAGGAAAGAATTCAGAGCCAAGACTCAACATATAAGAGAAAACCACTGAGATAGAAGTGAGCAGTAGAAGAAATGGGCCCAGGAATTAAATTACATTATGGAGGCAAAGGAAAGGGCCCTCAGAACTTAGGAGAAAGGTAAGGGCAACTTGCTTAGGGGGAAGTGGAGGAGGAGTGGAAAGGCACTGGTTTGCTCCAGAGGGAGAGCACACTGGGTCCTCTTGCCTAAGGGTTTTTAAGGGTGGAAATTTTAGGGGAGGTCCTAGGAAAGGATCTCAATAGAATATCCATCAGCTTTCCAGGTGTGTCCTTTCAGAGTCAGGGTCTCCACTGATTGGTCAGCACCATGGCAAGGAGTGAGTAGTCAATGCAGCTGGTCCTGAGGTTATCTGTGGCATCACTTGTCTGATTTTGCTGCTTTTCTGGGCCTGGAGCTGAAATACAGCTGAGGTTTAGATGTTATCCCTGAGGGTTAATGTTTAAGGGAGTGGACTTCCAAGGGCCCTCATGGGAGTCACATGAGGCCACTCTTTGATTCCTTGTTTCTCCTCCAATAGAGTCTACCACACAACTATGGACATGGGAGGGGAGGAAAGGACAAGGGAGGTTCTGAGCTGCATGGCCAGTGATATGAAAGGTCAGGGCATCTAAACCACAACCAGGGTTACTAGGTAAGGAAAGGTTACCCTGGAAGTAAGGTCCTTGCTCTCCCAGTTTTGCCTGCTGCTAGGCACCCAGAGCTTTCAGCCCTAGTGGCCTTCCGTACCTGGCCTATCACCCTTGCTGTGCTCATGTCTGTCCAATTGTCTACCACATTCTGTAAATGTGCTAGAACAATTATTTAGGCTGGAGTCCTCCTCAGAGAATGCTTTATGTGGCAGGTAAGGCTTAAACTGATTCTTGATGGTTGGGTTAGATGTTGAAAAGATTAGTACAGAGAAAAAATAACAAAAGCATAAGTAAAGATATAGAAATAGAAATGAGTAGGGCTCATTCAGTATAATGAAGACAGGTTTTAAGGAAAGACCTGTGTTATTATGGAAGTGGAGGAAAATAAATGTGTTGATTCAATAGGCAATCGAGTGATTGTGAGCCATTACCATATTTTACTACATAAAACCTATTGTAATACTCAAATATATGATCACCTAATAATTTTTAAAAACAATGGACAATAATTCAAATGATAATATACTAGAGGCCCATTGCATAAAAATGTGTGCCCTGGGGCGGGGGGGTCCCTTGGCCTGGCCTGCCCCCTTTCACAGTCCTGGAGCCCTTAGGGGATGTCCTACTGATGGCAGTCGGTAGGACAGTTTGTGGGAGGCAACTGGCTGATCAGGGGAAGGCACTGCCCCCATCACCCCCTCACTGTTGCTGCCTCTGGCCTCCCTCCGCGGGAGGCGACCCAGCAATCAGGAGAAGGGATGCCCCCATCTACTGCTGCCACTGCCAGCCGCGAGGCTGCCTGAGCCTTGGTTCTCACAGCCACTGCAGCTTGCCTGAACCTAGGCCCGGCCCTCATTGCCTGATCCTCAGGCCTTCTCAGTGGCAGCCGCCATCTGAGGCTTGCCTGAGCTTCGGGCCAGCCCACCATCAGCGGCTTGCCTGAGTCTCGGGCTGGCCCTGGGCAGTGGCAGCCGCCATCTGCTCCCCCGATGCACCTCCTGTTCAAGTCCCCACCCACCCGTATGTGCCTCACAGCTCACCCAGCCCCTCCCACCCAGCTCTCCCGCTGTGCACGCAGCCTCCTGGTTATTGCTCATTGTGGCATGAGGGAGTCATGGCGTGATGGCATGATGACCACGTAGGCTTTTATTAGTATAGATAGGTTACAAAGTATTAAGTACAGAAAAACTACAAAGTATTAAGTACAGAAAAACAATTTACCAATGTAGAATTATAGCCATAAATTATATTACAGGTATCTGTTAAGTCATGTCAGAAATCAAGCTGGCTAGGATCTTACAATGCAAATATGTTTCTGCATACAATTTGGTGCTTTTCACATCACCATCCCTACTGTTCTACACCTATTTATTTTATACTCCGGAGTATAAATCTCCTTTCTCCAATTGTGTACAAGCCTGCAGGGAGCTTTGGGACATAGTTTGCCTATGTTTTTGCATCTATAAGGTCTTATAGAGACCAGAAATGACACTTTCTAAAATGAACTGTACCTCAAGTAGAAATTGAAATTTTATTTCTATCAATTGAAACATATATATTATGTAGAGATAATAATAGAGAGAAATACTCAATGCTTTTATTGACCAATTTCCATGTTAAGGAAAATGGCATTCCTTAAAATGAAAAATAAAAGAGTGGGTAAGAGGATAATAAAACCCAAGGTAATATAAAGCACAGTTGCTTAAAAATAGTTCATTTCCTGGTCCAAACAAAATATATATTACAGGGAAACAAGGGAAGTTTTGAAGAGGATCATATTTCATTCATTTCTTCCCATGAAATCATCCAAATGTGGGGAGCCTCTGAAATATTGGAGAGAGTCATGTGTCCTGATATATATATTTTTAAGAATTACATTCCAGAACACATAGACTAATAATATTTTGACATTAACTTCCCAATAAAATTTTTAAACAGACTCTTAAAATAATTTATGGGTGTTTACATTAAAAGAGAGTATATACTAGGAGTCAACATTCATTAGTAATGGTGTAGGAAATTGTCCTAATTCCCTCCTTATTTTTTTATATTGGTTATTATCCTGGTTTCTGAAGACAAAATTATAAATATGTCTGAATTTCATTAAATCATTTAACAGCTAATGCTTTTCTTATCTATGCAGAAACTTTCATTCTGGAGACTACCAATTAATCTTCAGTGCTCAAATCTAATGGTGGTTTCCCAATCTTCATATTACTCATTTTGTTTTTCTGAATATATATTGTTTATTTTGATTTTCTTTTGCCCTTGATTTTTGATTTCAGTGTCTCCATGCAAAATGTATGTATGTATGTATGTATGTATGTATGTATTTACTTATTCATTTACTCATCTTTCTGTTTTTATATCTTGTTCTGGAATATAGATTTCATTCAGATTATATTTTTGATCCCTGAAAAGATTACTAATTGCAGTGTTGGTTCAGTGCTCCACATCCCCTTTAAGAGATGAACTTTAACTTCTACAAAATAAAGAAAGCAGCCTTTTTCTAGATGATTATGCATCTACAACCAACTTTTCTCACCATTGTTGACTATTAAGAGAAAAACAAAGGACCTAATAAAATTCCTCCGCTGAAAACTTAGAACTGGGAAGGGAGAAAGGAGAGAGAGAGAGAAAACTGAAAGGGGCAAGAAAAAGGAGAGATAGGGAATCAATTTTGTTAAACTGTGTGGCCATGTCTTTTGTATGTAGACCGAATAAGAACATTAATTAAGTCAAGAAAAAGAAAGCTGGATGTACAAAGAGAGGGCAAGAGAATGACCTCATTGTGCTACATTTTGAAGGTCTTTTATCCTTGAGGAGGGCCTTTTAATTAAGCTTTCCAGATGGGTTTATCTTGTTTGCAATCAAAAGGGAAACAACTATCATAACTGTCTTCTTTCTCTGAAGGTTTCTTAGTTGATTTCAGTTAATAATTTTCTTGACT